CATAGGAAAATGCAAAAAGATGACCGTCTTCAGGCAGGTAGTTAATAGAAGCTCAACAGGTTAAAACTGAGCTTCGCTACATGCATTTTATCTTATAACCCTGCCTACATGGCAGGTTGCCAAGGAAACTGTAACGCAAGAGAACATGGTGACAATATATAGTAGAAATCAATCAGCATACAATTCACATATTTTTCACTATGAAGTGGGCTGACAAGATCTAGATCTCACTGTAAATGACCCATCCAAAAGCATTACCTCAGACCTGGATACATATTTTACAAGTGTGAACAAGCAGAATTACACTGGGCCTCAACAGATGAATTGCAGCAATCAGTATTAAATTTCCCTTTATGCTTGTGTTACACTTTCCCACACGGTAAGGTAAATTGGCTCTAGAGACTGCAGTCCATTAGTGTGTTGCACCAATGATGCTGCAATTGCCTCATCGTTGCCCAGTTTGTGTGATGATGAAAGGCAAAACAGACACTATCAAATTACATGCATATTTTGTTTTGAAAAAGTCAAACGATGAGGAGTCAGAGAGAAATATTTAAGTAACAATTGGGTAAACTACATTAATAACATTTTGAAACCCTCAGTGCGTCAAAGTCTTGAAGGGGCAAGATTATGCGAGATATTTTCTTTTCTAAGCCACAGGGGTGAAGTATATTTTTGTCATCAAATATAAAGGCAGAAACTATGATTCAACTGTAAAAATGAACACTGCTTGAATATTACTTGCTATTCAATGTGTGGTAACTGTAGACAAACAACAATGATCAAGAAAGGTGAAAAGATAAATAAAACCAGGTTCATGTGTTTTGTCTCTTTAAAATGCACAACTGCAAATGATGCTCCAAGAGCACATAAAATATCTGATGCTTTAAGACAAAACTCCTCATTTTGTCCTATCTACTGTGAAGGGGAAAAGGTATATTTGCCTTTATAATGTGCACTTCTTTCCATCAAATGGATCAAGAACTGATGGTAGATCAAGACAGCGAGAGTCATTTTAGTTTAGCTTCAACTACAGATGGAAATTAATTTGTTCCATATAGGAGATTTTGATCTTGCAGACTCAACACAATGAAAAAAAAAACGTATTCAGAGAGGTCACCGATAGAGACTACATGCACGTTTCAAATAGCATGTCTGGCATTATCCTCCAATGAAATGGACAAAAAGAACATTTTATTCTTTCTTAATTCACTTGGAGTGCAAGCATGTGGTGTTTTGTCTTGCAAATGTTTGGCTTTGGCTGCTTGATCTTAGTGCTATCCTAGAAATGACTGTAATAATTCAGCATATTATGTTCTTCTTGACCTTGGGTCAGGTACTCTGATGAATATACAGTACATGACGCTGTGAGACATAATGAAATGGTTGGATGTAAGCAAAAGGCAGAAAAATGCAGTTGGAAGATAAGTGTGTCTAACTTCACCGAATCTTACCCTGGGAAGATACCAGGAACAGATGGCACATAACTATTCATAAACTGCAACTCTACCCAAAGAAATTATATAACTTCTGAGCCTCCACCTAGAAAAGCATCCCCATCCCAAAAAAGACAACTTAGACAACATTGCATCTGAAATAAAAAAACAAAAAAATTAATAAATGTGCTTTAACAAAAATACACTGCTTTCAAACCCTCAGACTATCTTGCCTCTTAGGCTTTTATTGTAAGTGCATTACTATAAATGCATTACCTGTTCTATTTGACAAACTGAGGGATGAGCTGAAATTCTCTTCTCTGGTAATAAACCACAGGTCACAGATTTTTTCAAGCTTAACTTGAATTTAATCCAGAATGTTTTTAGTAATGTCGACCTTATAAATAAGGTCTTCATGAAGTTTAAAAAGTATAATTTTTTCCCTTCAAAATGTACTTTAGCTAAATTGAAAATGCTTCCCAAAAATAATATTTAAAGGAATAGATCACTCACCCAAAATTTTAAAATCATTTACTTTAAACCTGCATTACTTTATTTCTACTGTCAAACACATGCAAAAAATAAAAATAAAAGCAAAAGGGACCCAATGTTGTTTTCACTGTATGGACAAAAATCATTTGGAACATTCTTCTTTTGTATTTTATGCAGGCTTGGGATGACATGAGGGTAAATAAATTATGACAGAAATCTCTTTTTTTGGTGAAATATCCTTAAAGGGTATTGTTGTAATTGTTACCCATGAAGAAAATGAGCTAGAATATGGAGGGATAGAGACACAACAGAAAGGGAAAGAGCTTAAAAATATATGATGAAAGTCATGGCTGTGTAACTCAAGGACACAGTGATCCTGGGTGTCCCTCTCCTCTCTGAATGTTGCTTTTAAGAGCGGCGGTACAGGAGAGACTTTGGCTATGTGTTTGCCTGTCCTGTCAGTGAACCCATTACTGGCATCTCAAATTTTAAACACTGAAAGCCTGTCTACTTTTGTTTCTGAACTGATGAAGATTGTGTGAATCTGAAAAGGCAAGAGTAACATCTGAACAGAAGGGATACCAGTGAGATTACAGAAATGTAAGAGGTGTAAAAGCACAGTAAGTCATCCTGTATGTGACCTGTATGTGGAAGGTCACATGTACAAAATGATGTGTCGTGTCTAGTTGGCTAACATAAAATATGCGCGTGGCTTTTATTTCACTGGGTTTTATTATTTTTTTTATCCATTTGTCAGGACACTAAATTATCCTTCAACAGAGCTATTATTGTCTAAATTGAGTGGTAAGCTCATTATTCACAATTTGCTATTGTGACATGTTTGAAATTGGTTACTCTGCTGTGCTTAATTCTATTTTTCGTTTCCCCAATAGGTGGCTCCTTGTCTCTATGCCAAAAGTGATAAGAAGTGGCTAAAACTTGGCAGACTTGCAGTGCAAATCTGTGCCAAACTCTGTCATGGTGCCATTCAGAAGATTACAGTGTTGTTCATTAACCTTCAAGTGAAGTAGAAGAAACATAAACAGAACAGAACAGAGCAAAATTCAATGTTTATGAACAATGCCACACACCCTAATGTATATAGATAAATATAGCTGCAAAGTAAATATTTTAATTAAGTCATTGCCTTTTTTTCAACACAAACATGCTTCCTTTGTGTGTAAATGGGGTTTTTGGAATTGGATTTCAGTGGTGGAGTTACTGTATGCTCCTATGCATTCTAGCTCTCAAAATCAAGGCCTACAAGATGAGAAATTGTCCCATGCAGATTTTCTGGGCATGCTAGCACTGTAACCTGATATTTTACAATTCCTTTAGAGCGTTAGAAGCATAAAGAAATGTAAGCTTATGGAATGGAAATTGGGTGGAAATTTTAAAAAATGAAATTGGGAAAAATAAACATCTTAAATATATATATATATATATATATATATAAGAAATAAAAAAAAGTATAGTATAGTATAACAGATCAGGAAAATGTGTCTTTCTGATCTGTTATACTGAGGACATTTTTTTTTTATTACATAATATATATTTTTATTTTTTAAATATTTAATTTTATTTTCTATATCTTATAATATGCAGAAATATGAGTTTATATGATAAAATAGATCAATGTGCTGTACTAATACCTTTTCTGGATATGAAACATGAATGTTAGCCTGTGATATGTGGGCATATGAGTGTGGATGTACAGTATATGCGTTGGTTTTTTTTCAGTAGAAGGGTGTGTACTTTGCATTCTCAGCTGGTAGGATTCACCAATTACCATGTGTACACGGCAAATTCTTGAGCAGCTCATTTTATTATCCTTCATATAAAACGGTGCTGATAGATCTGTACGAGAAGGTCAACAAACAGAACCCCTCATAATCATGCTTCATTTGTGACTCATTAATTGGGCTTACACACTGCACCCAATCATTACCTATACACTCTTAAAAATAAAGGTGCCTCAAAAGGTTCTTCAAGCGATGCCATAGAAGAACCATTTTTGGTTCCACAAAGAACCACTCAGTCATAGGTTCTTTAAAAAAACCATCTCTTTCTTACCTTTTTATAATCTGAAGAACCTTCTTTCGCCACAAAGAACCTTTTGTGAAACAGAAAGGTTCGTCAGATGTTAAAGGTTCTTTATGGAACCATTTAGACAAAAAGGTTCTTCTATGGCATCGTGAAGCACCTTTATTTTTAAGAGGGTACATGCTCACACACACACACACAGGTTTGTTTTTGTGAAAACTGGGGACATCCCATAGGCGTAATGGTTTTTATACTGTACAGACCATATATTCTATTGCCCTACACCAACCCTAACCCTAAACCTACCCCTCACAGGAAACTTTGTGCTATTTCAGATTTTCAATACACTCCATTCTGTGTGATTTATAAGCGTTTTGAAAAGTGGGGACATGGGGTAATGTCCCGAAAAGTCACCTTCTCCTTGTAATACCTACGTCATACCTTTGTCATTATACAAATGTATGTCCTCATTTGTCACAAAAACGCACACACACACACACACACACACACACACACACACACACACACACACACAATGTATGCATGCAAGAGCACACACTCACTACCTTAATCAATAATATGGTATACATCATTCAGAAAAGAGACATTCAGGTTTGGTAGAAGCGTGTGAATATACGTCCATTAGCTGAGTGGGTGGGAAAATCTAGAAATCTGTTCCTGTCAGGAAAATATGAATATGTGATGACATTTTAGTAATGACAAGGTTTCTATGACAACAGTGTCTGTAAGACTGCAAACTGCAAAGCCTTGTTGTTATTGGCAAATGAATGCATAAATGCATTATGGTCCACAGAGGTTAAGCATTAATTTAGGTTAGAAGCTGAAAGTTATATAGCCATTTCTCTCTGTTCACATCCGTGAGCCTGTACACTGGAAACAATTTCAAAAGGACAGTATAATACATAGACTGTACATGTGGTATTTTCTATTAACTTCAGACACAGCAGAGTAAAAATGTATGTGTTTACATGCATCTGATTTATTAAAGCAAAATGCAAGAGCACTCACTTGGATCAGACAGGATGGAATCAGTCTTGGGCAGGAACTGGTCACAACGAATGCCCTGGAAACCCTCTTTACACCTGATTTGAGAAAAAGAAAAGAAAGAAAAGAAAGACAGTTAGTAAACTGAAATAAAAATAAAAAGCTGAAAAGAAAAAAACATGATAACATGAGAACATGATAGCAAATCAAATCACAAACCATAGTGACAAATGCGGACAGGGAATGGAGCTAATTCCAAACTGAACTGAAACCGTGATAACCTTACTGTAATCAAGGCAAGTTTTTTTTTTTACTAGAAAACAGACAACTGGAAATTATTTTTTTGTGGTAATCAACACTGTCACAAGTGTTTTCGATTCAGCTTAACTTAAATTGAACCTGGAATATTCCTTTAAATCCTTTAGGTCACTCTAATTAAAACACGTTTTAGGGGCCAGGCTGGTCCCTGTGCATTTCACAACAATGAAACTCCAAGACATGGATAAGCCAATCAGAGTGAAAAATGTTCAAGGCTTTTCTGGAAATCATATGGGAAATCCACATGTGCCATGTCATGCATCTGTTGCAGATGGCAGTAGATTGATTTGGAAGTACATGGGCACAGCGAGTTTGCTGATTTTCTACCTCAGCAAAGCCCTAACTGCTTGAATAAGATCTATCTGTGTTCACTAAATATGGAAATGAAATGCTTGTCTTTTATATAAGACATATGTATGCCATGTCCCTCCAAGCCAAGCTGTTTGCTCTCTCTCCAGCTCTCTTGCTCATGTAACTGCCCATGTGTTTCTGCCTTTCTCACTCTTTCCCTCTCTCCCCATCCTGTCATCACTTTATCCTAATTTTTCCCTCACTTCTTGACTTTTCAAAGACACTGGAGGCTAATACCGCTTTCAGCTAGTTGAGTCAGGAGAGCAATGTGACAAAGGAAAATGTCCCTGGCTCTAAATGGCAGAGTACAAACAGTGCACATGCATATGCCATGTACACGAGCCTCAACAGATAGCATAAGCCTTTGTTGGTTGTACAGCACATTTCATCCTTTTACAGAGGATCAAGAGCTCAATTTAATGCTGCATATTGCTTAGGCTGTATGTTTCGAAGTTCCCAACTGAAAAATAAATACATTTTAAAGATGGGATCTTTGCTCTTTTTTTACATTATATACAAAAATAAATATAGAGTATTTGCCTGGATCAGCAGCTTTCTCTGAGCTATTTATAGTTACCATATGATATTGCTTACTTTTCATGCCATTTTCACAACTATAGATATTTGCTTTGTTCCGAAAGAAGGACTTAAATTGTAATATATTAATACAGTTAGAGCGGGAATGAAGGCTCCGTCTAGACAGCATTCTTGCAATGCACCTGTTTTGGAGAAAAGCAATGAGAAGAGCAGCTCTTTTGTTTTCAACTGAAATAAGAAATCTGCTCACCCACATTATAATATTATGAATTATAATATATCTTATTTCGTTGGTCCATTGGATCAGATTGCTTTCTTACCACAAGCAACTGCTCCAGACTTAGTTTTCAATTGGGCTGTGACTACCTCATTCAGGCAATCTTGGGCTGATTATTTTGGTTTGAATCTGAGAGTGATTGGTGTGAACCAAGGTGTGAAAACACCCTTAGGCAATATATTTTTGCTTCACCAACAACAGCAGTTTGAAACAAGGCCGTAGTAGACCCATTGCATCATAAACAGTAGTGGTGTTTTGTCCCAGAATGAATCAATGTTTTGAATAAATTGGTTGAATGAATGATTGAATGATTCACTAATAAAAGACCGCTGCTTGTATTCTTCCAGAATGATTACGTTTTTTGAATGAATCCGTTGAATTAATTATTTAATTTATCTAAAGACAGGCACTTGTCACCACCTACTGGCATAAAAATAATCTGTAATCTGCACGATTCATTGCCACCACTAACGGACAGACTGACGGTCTGTCAGGAACTCGCAAACACAACAAGCAGAGTGATAAAAAAGAATGAAAGTCCCAGTCCTGGGTGATAATTCTATCAATCTACCTAGTATAATTCGCTACATTTTCCAAGCCTTGAGTTCTCTGAAGTGAATTGTTTTTAGTGTAACAGCCTGTCTTTTTATCATGTACAAATTAAGCACTGTTACAAATGTGTTCCTGTGCTCATGGAACAGACTTACTTTCTGTATCATTCTAGATTTTTTCCCTTATTACCAGAAGAACCACAGCAAACAGATGAAATGGAATAATTTTGAATACATTTGAATAATTTTCTTTTCTCACTCAAACCCCAAAATCCTAAACTTACCAACAGTAACAAATATTCATTGGGCCTCATTCATGGAATGCAAGCAGAACACATTTCTATGTAAATTGTTCATAAAACCATTCTTGCGTAAATTGTTAATGTGCCAATTTACATAAACATGATTTTACGAATGATTTACACAGAAATTATAAAAGACTTATATAAAAATTATAAAAGTGTTTCCAATAAATAGCATTACAGTGATATAATTTGTACACCCTTGTCCAATCTGATGTTAACAATTATGACTCCTCGCTCTATAGTAGAAATCTGCATACAACTAATTGAATGTAACTGTCATGTGTGTCATTAGTAAAGATTTTACGCTAATTGCACACAAGGAGCTATAGAGGGCTGTGAGTCAGTAATCAAATCAGTGGTGCAAATGGGCGACTCTGTGCTTTACATAGCGCATAGGTCATGCCTAAGGATCTGTGGTCAATTAATCTCTCCCCAATTAATGTGTCCACAGGCAAGTGAAGCTGATAAAGATCTGTAAGATAAGAAACTAATGCAGTACAAATTTACAGAAGGAGGATCATTAAAAGAGAGATCAAGTGCTATGGCAGCATTGTGAGGAACAGTCATTATGGGCACAGTATGAGCTGTGGCAATTGGCAAACAGTGGCAATTAAAATGTGGGGAATGGAAGGAAAGAGGTGAAGGTGTGGAACTGTACCCAAGAGACCACATTTGGGCTGCTTGCCTCCTTTTATCTTGCCCCGCACAGACATTTTGTTCACAGGCTTGATTTATGGGGAATGATGATACATGTTTAACGCAGTAGGAGGCTTCCTGTTGCTCAGCATATGGCCAAAGCAGAGGCCTTTTCTTTCATACAAAGCTTTTCTTCTCTCTTGTGCACATAGTATAGTGTTGCGGTTATTTTAACATGAAATACTGAAACACATCTCGGACGGGTGTGACAATGTCTTTTAATTGACTAGGCTATGGTCAAACCTTTCATTTCTAATGTTCTATTCTTTTTTCTTTACTCCATGAGGCCCTGTCATGTTACAGGACCCCCCTGTGTGAAATCATTAATTTCTTCTGTATAATACAGGCCTATATAGTATATGTTGTCTTCTTTCAACATATTCACTTTCATATTCCTCCCAACCCTATAATTTTCCTTGGAAATTTTGCAATGGAATATTCATTAGTCTCTGAGACCTGCAAAAAAAAAAAAGTTAATATTTCTCAAGGACCCAGAATGTATTGAGTGTTGCCTGGCTTTTAATTAGCACCACAGTCATTAATTAGCAGGAACAAATGGGGGGGGGGGGGGGGGCTGGG